GCTCTCATGTCTGCTGCTGCCTCAGGCATTCTCTCAGCAGCTCATCTTTAGGTGCCAATAAATTTTAGACTTATTGGACCTCCATTTTGTTTGTATAGAAAAAGAATAAGTAAACCATTGTGTTATTGGAGATGCAGTGAGAAATTCATTAAAACATATTTTACATTATCTTAAAATTGTTGTATTCTAGGAAGAAATTAATTTGACCTGGAACAGGGTTTAATATTTTTTGAAATTCATATTATTATTAACAATGTACCTATTAAGAGACTGTTCTTCAATGCCAGAAGGACAAATGTACAGAGCCAGTTAGTCAATGGGTCAAAGGCCTGATGTCACATGCCATTTATGAATGAGGGGATTGCAGATGTAGCTTATGTATCGATGATTATATGAAATATGCTAATCCATTATTGACATTGTTTTGTAAAACTCTGTATACATATGGACATTATGAGAAGCCTATATATTTTTGCTTTCTTTTTTCTAAATAAATAAGTAGATAGATAGCTACTGGAAACCTAACAGTTCAGACTGAAAATAGGTAAGATGCAGGTATTATATGTCATTCATCTACTGCAGTGTTTCTCAACCTTGGCCACTTGAAGATGTGTGGACTTCAACTCCCAGAATTCCCCAGCCAGCCACCCTGTATATAGTATATGAGATATTTCAGTTTAGCAAAGGCACCTTTACAATGGCTATTCCACTTATTTTCATTCCTTCATCCAACCACTCTGCCAGACTACAGATATAGGAGGGCAATGAGTCTATCATTCTTCTTTGGGAAATTAATTCTCAGGTGTAAGCTTGCTTGATCCATACCCCATTTTTTCTCCAGTAGCTGAAGGCAGCTTACATAGGGGTTGTCTTTCATTTTTATCCCCACAGAACAAACCTGTGAAACAGGTTGGGCTGAGAGATAATTTAGGACTTATTGCATAATAAAATTCCATACATGAGATTATATATCCTTTGAACATGTTTCAAGATAAATATGAGCAAGAATATATTAATGGCTGTTCAGGAATAAGAATTTTGTATCCCTTTTATACAACTTTTGTGCCCTGCTTGTGAGCCTTGGACATGTTTAGCTTTATTTATTGATTGGATAGTCATCCATGCTGCCTTTCTTCCAGAAGTTCAAAGCAGTTCTCTTCATTTGTTCCCCACAAAAACAACCCTGTGGCTGTACTGACAGTGTCTGGTTCAAGGTCACTCAGTGAGGTCCTGAGGACTGATCTGAACCTGAAACTCTTCAAACCTAGGCTAATACCTGGATCACTTCTCCAGGCTGCTTCTCCAAGTGCCAGTGTGATTCTATGTGTAGTAGGAAAGTGATCATACTGGCTCCATCGGTCTGACTCTGAAGGGCTTTCTCATGTCCTTCTAATGCCCAGAATGAAAAGTTTGCAATTCCCGCCCCCCCCCCCCAACCACACACTCCAATAACACTCTATGCTTTACATCAGGAAAAGGCAACCTGTGACATCCAGATGTTTTGGACCACAATCCCATATACCCCAACCAGCAGCAGAGATTATGCCAACTGTTATCCATCTGGAAAACATCAAATTATAAAGTCCTGATAGAAGTAAACATTTTTGAAGCAACTGTAATGATACCCTACCTATAAATGTCAAATACTTTATATAAAGCAATGCCATTTGTCATCTAGTTTTTCAGTATGCCCATTATCAACAGTAAAATATATGTTCAGTCATTTATAAACTGATTTGTCTTCTTCTTTTCCTGAAATGTCACTGTGCTTCAGTTTGTCTGAATCTCCCATGTTGTTTAACTGGATCCAACAGAAGATATTGATTTACCTCTAATTTTCAGGAAGACCTACTACTTTAAAAATGTGCTTGCCAGTTGAAGCCCTATTTTTCCTGCTAACTGAAACAGAATGCATTCACTGTCGTTCTCTGAGTACGGGTTTCAATGTTGCTTTAGTTTAGTCCTGTGCAACAGCACCATAATTCTTCAAACAGGTTTTGTATGCAATACACTTTATTTATTGAGATCAA